TTATCTTTAAGATGTGTTCTTCATTCTAGCTTTTCTTCCCATACTAGAAATTGTACCATAAACAATAAATTCAAGGTTAAACTGCAGAGCACAATAGGCACACTTTCGCACCACCAACCACAGTCGAGAGTTAGTTCATTATTTGAAACAATTTTAGCAATTACTTTAGAATCTGTGAGTGGGCTTTATTGAAAAGCAATGTAACTTTTAATAAGTTAATTGTTGGATTCTCAGTCTGAAAGTTGTAACTTTGTGTGGAACTGTAAGGAAGAAATGTACATGTGTGCCCTTCTAAGTGTGCCAAAGAACTGTTCATAATTCTTTATTGTAGAGAGTTTAATTTTTTGTGAAGTAAACATTAATTTGTTTTAATTTTCATAGTTAATGAAAATACAGTCAAAATACGCTTCCCTCCGATTGTTGTGCAAATGGTGCACAGTGACATGATGTGTGACAAACTGTATGACACTTTCCTGCATAGGCGATTAGGGCAACCCAAAGATTGAATCTTGCCTGTATGAGTGGAGGTAAATTATGATGTGCATTACTCCTCAGACTTTCAAATTACATTTCACGGAGACCTTTCGATTTTTCCAGAAATATATATATCTCTGAAGGTTGAACTAATCAATAAGACATAACATTTCTGTGACTCCGAGTTTCTCGCTTACGCGATCATCAGAGAGATTTTAATCTTATTGATTAGTTCAACCTTCATATATACCACGCTCTGCGAACGCATCGAGCACTATACCGCAAAGATAGACTATAATCAAGATATATATATATATATATATATATATATATATGTTCTTTCATCAAAATCGTTCAACTGAGTTTCAACCATCATTCTTTTACCATTTCGTTGAGCCATAAATGTTTCTTTTTTGCCAGGGATTGGTCCGGGGAATATTTCACATCTGGCTTGTTTTATTTCAGCACTTTATATATTTGCAATTTTCTAATACAAAGCAATTGAGGCGGGGAGGGGAAGTTCATTAAAACGCTAGATAAAAACTCTATGAGCAGTTTGTCTGTTTACCTCCTAAAACTGCGTCAGATACCAGCTTAGAATTTCGAAATCAATGAAACTCTTATTTGTCCATCAAATGACGAAGGAAGTTGAAGTTTTGTTACTCACGTTTATTTTCCTGAAAGTTCAGGGCACATTGCAAATAAAACCCTTTTTCGCGGTGCAATCGTTCCTTCCCCTTTGCAATGGTGATTTCGATCACTCTGATTAAAACCTCCGCTATCAACATTGATTGGAGGGATGTGGACTGACTCGATCACATAAAATACACAAGATCATTCCATATGGAATCAAGAACTTAAGTCAAACCTAAGCACTGACAGGATTTGGAAACCACACCCTTATTGGTACTTTCTGTGAACATCAGTAAAAAATAGATGAGCTCCAAGCCACTGGAATACTGAATTGAAAGAGTTAGTTAGACCCCATTTAAACTGCTATTTATTTACTTGAACAGAAACAGTACCTAAAAAATTACTATTTGAGACAGGTATGGGGAAGGTAAACTTAACTGCAGTAGGTTAAGAATACTTTTAAGATCTTTATTCACACAGGCTTCGACGTTTTGGCAGAATAAAAACTGTATTGTATACTCATTGGCATCAAGAGTGATCCACTATTTCTCAAGTGAGGTAGATTATTGACGTATCAAATTTACCTTCACCACAACAATATTTCATGCGGTAAAGTAACGATTGTCGTCGGACCGTGGGAGTTTTACGATGGCCGGGGGTTGCAGGATAACGTGCTTTACCAATATAAATCTTATTAGCATGACAAGACGATCCCGAAAAATGATGATTGAATGTTACAGACGTTAATTACAGCACAATAATAGAATAATAAACACAATAGTTGCTAATAGAATTAGAAAGAAAGGACTGGTAAACTTTAAGTTCCGTCGACGGATGGGGACTGGTAATCCACTTTCAGACCTCCCGATTTTGCGGTAAGATACTCTACCATTGAACTTAAAAAAAACTGATCAGCAAAGGCATGATTTAGATGCAATAAGCTTAAGTGTCCTCTCTACAACTAAGATCAGTACTGTCCTATTTATTTGCACGTTCACTTTCAATTTGTAGCCAGAAAAGCCTTACCACGATCAAGAACGGGAAAATAACTCACATATCTTGCCAAACCATCAGAGACTCTAGAACTTACTCTCTCGCGGCCACAGCGCATACGTATATTTGACAAGGAGCGTGACTTACCAATTACGCTGTCCTTTTCATCCCTGTCACTTTAAGATTTTAGTGGCCCATTCCCGCCTCATTTGTAGACTACATTCAATTGTACCAACACTGATTCCCTTTTTGTCCAGGGTTAAATATAAGTGAACTTGTGACTTGAAGGTAATGCACCTCTTATCTCAAAGTCGGACTTTAA